TTTTCTTTTCTTCTTTCTTTCTTCTTCTTCTTCCTCCTCTCTCTCTCTCTCTCTCTCTCTCTCTCTCTTTCCTCCCTCTTTTCCAGTTATCCGTGTATCCGTGTAGATAGAAAGGTAGAATGGAAGAAAAAAAAATAAAAAAAATTTTCGACCATCTTTCCGTCGTTGACATCAGAGATAAAAATCTTGCAATTTCAGAGACTCGGAGAAGCTTGTAATATCGGTACATCTTACTCTCGAGGAAATTATACGCATTTTTCTTTTCTACGTTGCGTGGGGAAGAAGAGAGAAAGGAGAAAGTTTCGAAACAAATTTATCTTTAAAATATCGCGTATAAATTTATACCTATAACCTTATAAAAATTATTTTCATCGTGAATTTTATTTCTCAAATCGCGAATCGTGAATTAATTAATTTTCTCGTACTTCGAATCGTATTTCAAATAAATACTCGTTCTTGTGAAAATATATCGCTTTAAGCAAGAATAAAAAGAACGTAAAGAAACGATAACAAAAAGTTTTCTTATAACAAACGAACGATTATAACGATTCATCGTCCAAAGATGAACCGACTAATTTTTAATTCTAAACGTTTCTTCGTTATATCTCTTCTAAAAAGCCACTTTCTTAAATATTGATCCAACAATTTCGATCGATATTTAATTCCAACTATATATAATTACTCGTTTTACGAAATTTCTTATGTTTTAGGAAATGCGAAAGTAGCCAAGTGTTCGTTAAAGATCATCATACTCACTGTATAGATACCTGTCGGCCCATTACGATGTGCGGCGAAGTTGTCGTACCCGAAGATCATCTCGATGTAAGAAATTTATTAATAACGGTTACTCGATCGCTCTTTCACTCTCGTCGCGTTCGATATATTCGCGTATTCTTCCTATATAGTATATACATCATACAGTTGAAAGTGAAAAATGAACGCGATGCGATGATCAGGTTTGTAGAACGTGTAACGCAACAGGGCATAATTGCGGTATAGCCGAAGGAAGCAAGGCAGGCCCTGGTATAGATGGAGCCGATTTTGTTTTCTACGTGTCCGCGATGCAAACCGAAAGATGCCACAAAGGATTAACCGTGGCTTATGCGGCCCATTGCCAACAAGAAGCGGCATTGGACAGGTAATCGCCTCGTTTTTTCCCATACGATCTCCACAGATTCCTATTCGAACGATATTTCGATTCGATATTTTCTAGACCGATTGCTGGTCATGCCAATCTATGCCCGAAAAGCATAAGCACGAAACCACAAGAACTCGAAACTTTGCTAAGTACCGTGAAACACGAAATATTACACGCCTTGGGATTTTCCGTCAGTTTATACGCCTTCTATCGAGACGAAAATGGAGAACCTAGAACTCCGAGAAGAAGCGACACGGGGAAACCATTCTTAAACGAAAAGTAAGCGATCTTGTATCCTTTTATCGTTTTATGAACATATAACATTTCGTTTACGTCACATCAAAAGTAATCTGTACGTAATTATTACACGTTAAAACAATAAAATAACATATGGATCCGATCCGAAATGATTCCAATTTAGACGTAGGATAATCGTATCATTTTCGATTCCATAATATTTCTTCGTCATTGTCGTTTTCTTTTCGCGGATAAATCTTTTCTTCCACCATTATGCCTTCTATCCGAATCGACGAATCGTAACGAGCCAAATTCCGGTGTTGTCGCTCCAACATTTTATCCTTTCTCTTTTTTTCGATATTCCTTTTACGTACTATTATACGTATACACTTCAATCACGTTCTCCTCTTCCGTCGATAGAGATCTTATCTTCCGGTTTTCACCTTTGTGATATTTCCACGATTCGTCCGAGAAAAAATGTAAAAAAATATTCGTACTTTCTTCTAGTTTCGCGTCCAAATCGCGTCCTTTCATATCGTGTATCGAATCGAAGCTTTTTTCTTATACGTTCAATTTTCGTTATTATATCTGCATGTATCTACATATACCCGTGATATCAGGTTACAAACGCATCAATGGAGTGAAAACACGATTCGAACCGTGGTCAGGCCATATTGGCAAGTGCATGGAGGCTACGTAGAAAGATCGATACAAATGATAGTGACACCGAGAGTTCGTGCCGAAGTTCAAGCTCACTTCAATTGTCCGGAACTGGAAGGAGCGGAGCTAGAGGATCAGGGGGAAGATGGTACGGCATTGACGCATTGGGAAAAACGTGTGTTCGAGGTAAATCGTTACAAATACCGTACAATAATGACCTTAACGACCATCCTTGATCGTTTTATCGAATTCGACGAACGATATTCGACGCGTAATTAGACAATTATAACAGTTTTTAAAATGTCGTCGCTTTCTTTTTTGTTTTTTTTTTTCCCCTCTCCTTTACTTAAGAATCATAATCGTATCGTTCGAGCAAAATTAAATCAATCGTATCACTGATATTTTATACATAGCGAAATAAATCCGATCGAAAATAAAATTAAATTTTATATAGTAGTGAGTGAAACAAAATTCGAGAAAGAAGAATATTTATTACCGTTTAATAAATACATAGTTGAAAAGAAACGATTGCCCGTTTTAATAGAATTTAACTATTTCTCGAAATATTTTCATATTTGCAAATAATTTTAAAAATTATCGTGATGTAGTTACTTCGATATTTTGTAAAATCTTAACGCTACGATCTTTCATCGTTTTAGAACGAAGCAATGACGGGGACGCATACTCAAAATCCAGTTTATTCAAGGATAACGCTCGCTCTTATGGAAGATACCGGATGGTATAGCGCGAATTACTCGATGGCACAAGAATTAGGATGGGGTAGGAATCTCGGCTGCAATTTTTCGATGAAGTCGTGTAAGGAGTGGATATCTTCAAAATCGTTTCGGTGGTCGTATGTATTCCAAAAAGCAATGCAAAAATAGAGAACATTTTTATCGATATTTTAATTCAAGAACGTAGATGGACGCATTTTATTTTATTTTTATAACGTAAACTACTTATATTACGTAATAACAATATTTCATCGTGTCTATAATCTATAAACGCTCCGTTGTAATATAAAAATAACGAGAAAATTGTCGCGAAAACAAAAGTGAAATAGGTTATTATATATCTTTAATATCGAAGTTTACTATCGTTTTTCAGGGGAAAGTCTATTCATCCCTTTTGTAACAAAGTGAAACAAGATCCATTACAGACCGAGTGTACCGATGACCGAAGTTCAGTGGCATTGTGTAACTTGATCAAATACTCGCAACCTTTACCTAAGAAGTATCAGGTATAAAATTATTATACGTACATACATTCGTAATAAATATCTTTGTTCCATTTAAATACAACTATTCGTTTATATATAAAAATCTTATTATATATATATATATATATATATATATATATATATATAATAATTATTTCTTCTTTCTT